TCCCCTTCTCTGTCTCCCTCCTCCCCCGTCGCGGCCCCCGCCACCGACACCCCATTTCTCCCGCGGCCTCCCCAGCCTCGGCGTCGGTCCCCAGCCGCGTCCACCTGAGGTAGGATGGGGCGAGGGGAGGCCCGCGGGGAAGGGGAGGGGCGAAGCATCCTGCATCCCGAGATAAACAAACCCGGGGAGGGGGCGGCCGCGACCGAGGGGCTTGACGCTGGAGGCGAAGAATGGGGGGCTGGGCCTGGGGGAGGTGGCAGGCGCTGGGCGCGCGGACCGAAGCCTTCTGATGGGTAACGGGGACCCTGCGGTTGCCCAAGATCCAGTTGCGGGGAGGCCACCCGGGGCCCCGGGAGCTTCGAGGGGCTCGGACGCGGGAGCGTGTGGGGCACCCTCTCCAGCTGACCTCTGCCTCCAGGATTTGCCCGAAGGCCGCCCCAGCTCTGCAGCCGCCCCCCGAGGGCCACCGAGGACCATGACTAAGACGGATCCTGCCCCCATGGCCCCACCGCCCCGAGGGGAGGAGGAAGAAGAGGAGGAAGAGGATGAGCCGGTCCCTGAGGCCCCCAGCCCCACCCAGGAACGCCGGCAGAAGCCTGTTGTGCACCCCTCAGCACCTGCCCCCCTCCCTAAGGACTACGGTAACCACTGTCCCCACCCTGGAATCTGACCTGGAGCCTTGGGTGGCCGCGGAGGGTGGGCTGAGCTTTGCTGGTGGTGATGGTAGGGGAATTCTGGGGGATTTGAAGGTGGTCCAAAGAGTCTTAGCTGCAGAGCCCCCCTTCATTCATTCATTTATGCATCAGAGAATGGAATTTTAATAATCCTAGTCTTATTCATGATTCAATCATTTAGTCATTCAACAAACACTTATTGAAATCCACTGTGGATCTGGCTCTGTGCTAGGAGGTGGGGCCACAGCAGGAAGCAAGACAGACCCAGTCTTTGCCCTGAGAGAACTCACAGGCCTCAATAACAACCACACAAACCAGTATAAAAATATAATGTAATTTAAGCAGTGGTTCACACGCAAAAAGTAAAGAAGAAAATAGACTGTAACATAAATATATAATTACAACAAGATGAGAATCGTGTTTACCAAGAACAAGCTGCTGCAAAACCAAGAGTTTTTAAGACATGGTTTCCCTGAGGAGGTTACATTTGAAGGAGACCAGAGGGTGAACAGGGGTTGATCAAGAGAAGGGTTGGGGGAAGTGGGTTCCAGGAGAGGTAACCACTGTGTAAAGGATCTGATGGAGGAGGGTGTGGAGCTGAGAGGGTGGCCTCTTGGGGAAACCAAAAATGTCTAATCATTTACCAAGTAGTATTTATCAAGTGCCACTACTCTGTGATGACCATTATGCTGGGCGATGGGGATTTAATGATGAGTGATCCGGGTATGATCCCCGCTCTCAGGAGAGACTAAATAGGTGAACAGATGAATAAATCAGATAAGTTCAGATCGTCATGAGTGCTATGAAAGAAATAAAAGTAGAGATATAATAGATAATGACGAAGGGACATCTACTTGAGTGAGACACAGTAGTCAGGGCAGGCCTTTCTGACAAGGTGACATTTAGGCTGAGACCCAAAGCAGAGGAGGTGTCAGCCATTGGAGGACTGGAGAAAGAGCGCTCCAGGTCGAGAGCAGCAAGTGCAAAGACCCTGAGGCAGAATGGGGCTTGGAACTAAAAGGCCATGGGGCTGCATTTAGAAAGTGATCAGAGTTGAGGTGAGAGGTCGGCATAGGCCAGATCTAGAAGGGCCTTAAAGGTCACAGTGAGAACTTTGGATATGGTCTGAGTGTGATGGGGGAAAGCAGTTTGGGTGAGGGTTTTTTATTTGTTTTGCTTTGTTCTGAGTTGGGGTCTCATTCTGTTGCCTAGACTGGAATGCAGTGACACGATCATGGCTCACAGCGCCTGAGCCTCCTGGACTCAGGCTATCCTTCCTCTTCAGCCTCCCGAGTAGCAGGGACTACAGGTGTGCACCTCCACACCCAGCTAATTTTAAAATTTTTGTAGAGATAAGGTCTTGCTATGTTGCCTAGGCTGGTCTCAAACTCCTGGGCTCAAAGCAGAAGAATGGCAGGTCTGATTTATAGCTTTAAAGCTGTCTCTGGCTACTAGGTAGAGAGGGATGGAGTGCAACCAGAGTTGCATGTAGGAGGGGAATTTTAGAAGACACTACTGGAAACCCCCAGCAGCTGTAAGGCTCAAAAACCAGGCACTAGGTTCAGAGAGTTGGGGGGTGTTGCCAGGATAGGGCAGCAGAGATGGCATCTGTGGATATGTCGCCCATTAAAGGTAGATCAGAGAGACTACAAGTTGACTTCAGTCTGATAGAAAAATAGGAAAATTATCGGGGGGTCTGAGGTGTGTGTGTGTGGGGGTGCTCCCTCAGGAAACTGGAAAATCTCCTTTGGAAATGCAGCTGGATATGGCTGGGGTCTGTGGCTCTGTGGTGTCAGAGTGTCTAGGCTGGGCTCCCCAAGGAATTCTGCTTGTAAAACAGGAGAGGATTTGGTCATAGAATGTGAGGGAATCTGGAAATGTGCTGTAGGACAGAGGAGGCTAAGAACTTAGAGAGAAAATTGTGTGTTTGCTTGTTAAATTTGCACATTAATTCAACAGAGTCATTCTCATTCTCTCTCTCTCTCTCTCTCTCTCTCTCTGTCTCTCTCTCTCTCTCTCTCTCCATTT